AAAGTCCAGCATCAACGCTGGTCTTGTGTAATACGCAGGATACATATTGAGTACAGAGGCATCGCACAGATGCTGAGAGGGAGCTCGGTTTACAGAAGAACAGAAAGAAAGAAAGAAAATTGTGGATTTGGCTGTGTTTGTGCAAATTCTACAAACAAATAAATCACAATTCAGCTAAACTGCACAAGACACAACATTTTCTATTCTAATGGAAACGGAGCTCTCAGACAATCAGCCCGACTGTTTTTTCATGTCTATTAACAACTCTTTTTTTTTTTTTTGTTAAAGTTGCATTTGCACATAGTTTATCCAGAGCTCTAAAGTCTAAAAATCAACCACGCAACACAAGACTGGAGAGCATCCTTTAGTTCACATGTACAATCGTCAGGAGGCCGTCACATGTAGCTGGTGGTACAGAGAGGCACAGAAAATAAAGAAACTGCCCTTTATCTTATCAATCTAACCCATATAACAATAATCAATAACAAAAAAAAAGGAACTGGAACTCAACATTAGTGAAAGCCTTAAAAATACTATTTGTACTGTGAATGTTGGGAGGAAGATTATAATATTGCAACAACATAGAGAAAAGAGAAGTGACACCAGTGAATCTTGACCTGTAGGTTGTGATGGGAGGCAAATGTTGAGTTACTACACTGCACCAAGCATTTGAATGCACAAATTAAAAACTCTCCAGAATGCAAAGGTTTGGTTCACAGTGAAACCAAAAGCCTGTAATTCTCCCCAAAAATCCTACTGTTAGCACAAATCATTAAGTATTAACAATGTGCCTTTTGTCCTGTTTTCCTCACAGTCTTCCTGTTAAAGGGGAGTTTTTCCTTCCCACTGTTGCCAAAGCTCTTGCTTATATGGGGTCATGTGATTGTTGTAGGGTCTTTACCTTAATATAAAGCACTATTTGTATAAATAAAAGTTAATTGAACAGAGCCAGCACCACAGCACCCCCTGGTGTATGTGTTTACACAGACACAGACTGCATTCATTGCAGTGTATCATCTTCAGCTGTGTGAAACTGCCAGACGTGTCACGGTTTCTACTTTCTGTTTGAAGGCTGAAGGCTACTGAGTATTCAGTCATGTCCAAGTTACGTCTCTGAGTCCACAGTTAAGGCTGCTGTCTGGGTTTGTTGAGGAGGCTGGATGATTCACTCTACAGGCGATAAAATAACACGCCTAATTATATGAATGTCTTATTATGTCTTCATCGAGATTCAGCTCTAAACAGAAGAACTGTGCCAGAGCGAAGGGGGGAAATGGTGTTCGAGAGTCCATCTAATACTCATACTCTACCAAATGAGAGGAGACATTTTCCAGTGTGCTGGAGTATGAGTATGTGTGTGTGTGTGACAGCTCTACAGGTACATGCAACATGCAGGAGTCTGGCAGACAGAAACACTTCACTGAGCAAGGAGACAAAATCTAAAAAAAAGAAAAAGATATTCCTGCAGGCTGAGTAGCTGAAGGCAGCTGGAGTTGTTTATCCACCGCTCTCTTTCTTTCAGCCCGTCTCTCCTTACTCCCATTAGCTGCCAGAAGCCCATTTTTAGAGAGCTCCAGCCCCATAAGCGCGTACACAGCGCCAGCTAAATTCACCCCGCCGGCTCAACTCATAATGTGCAAATTCAGGAACGTTAAGAAAGCTTCGAAACAAGGGAGGTATTTACTGAAGGGATGACAAATGGAAGTTTGGAAGCTGTGGCAAACACAGTTTAACGATGCATATCTGCTATTGGTAGATGTGCGATGTTCACGAACAAAGCAGAAGCGAAGGAAGAGCTAAAAAAATAAAAATAACTCTGGGCTTGAAGTGAGGATGGTGTAGCTGTTTCTGTAGCAGCCCCAAAGGACAAAACAGAGAGAGAGGAAAAAAGGGAAAAAGCCTAAATCTAGACATCCCAAAACAAACAGGTGAAGCGCTACAAAAACAGACACCAGCACACAGGATGGACTCTTTGACCTGCGCAGACAGGTGAAGACAGGGAAGAGGAACAACTAGAGCTGGGCGATATGAGATTTTTTCATATCACGATATGTTTTTTTCATTTCAGGCGATAACGATATCTATCACGATATAAGCCAAATAACTATATTTGTAAGATTTAAATGTGCCGTTGCTCACAAGTAAAATATGAAATAATCAGCAGCTTGTTTTTAAATATTTATTTCCCATAATAAGTTCAACAGGGTAGATGTACTTAAGGAACATGAGACTTTTTCAGATAAATAAAGGCAAATATTGCAAACTACACAAAAGACAGCCGCTAAAGCGTTTAAGTTTCAAAACAGAACAAACGAAACAGACTAAATTGTCAATTCCACTTAGAAACAAAGTATTAATTCTAAAAATAAATCTTAGTTTGTTTTACAGAAGAACAGACAAAACTGACTAACTTTTGTCAATATCAAATAAACTGAGAACTAAAAGGAAATTCTCAATCTCTCCTTGTTGTATAGCTGAGCTTTTCAAACAGTTTTAACAGTTACTTTAGTCTGACAAAAGCCGAATGACGAATTAGCGCTTCCAGTCAGAGACCGAGGCTACGTCCACATGTACACGGGTATTTTTGAAAAGGGAGATTTTCCGTTTTCGTTTTAAAAAAATAATCCCGTCCACACATAAAGGCAGAAATGAAGGAAAACGCTGCTATGAACATGTCAAAGCAGCAGGTGGCGCTAGATTCCTAACCGTGCAGAAATGTTGGCCAATCAGAAGTCTAGAAGCCTCGGTGGGAAAAAGTAAACAAAGCTGGGGCATAGAAGCAGAACCGAGTCGTATGTGTGGAGGGACAGTAACTGTGTGTATATGTAAGCATTTAAACACTGCAGAGAGTAGAATTAACAGTAACAGTATTGTAGAAATTCATTTCACCGAAACAATAACGTGGCGCACAGTGTGACGCATGTACCAGTTTATTGCATTTCCAGACTTGCTTTCGGCACAATTTACAGTGCACGCTACTCTGTTTTTTGTCAGACTTGAAATAGCCGAAATACCTTCACACTACGGAACTTCTATGGCTCTTCCGTTCGACAATCTCTCCGGCATTGGAACCATCATCTGTTTTCTCTTCGGTCACGCTCGGTAGATTTTTCTAGTCGGCACACTCATTTCCTCCATTACCCGCTGGCTGCTTCCCAAACAAACACACGTGAAGCTGCGGCTGTGATTGGTTCGGCTCTGCGCTACTTAATTTGGATCGGCCGACCTTTTTTTTTTTTTTTTTTTTTTTTAAAGAGGACAAGAGCGGCGAGGTGTATCGCGATAGCTTAATTTCTCTATCGAGTAAAAGTTATATCGCGATAGATATCGTTATCGTTCTATCGCCCAGCTCTACTGTACACTGTATATTAAGCAAACAAAAATGGATGCCGTTTTGTGGGATAGCTTTCACAGTTTAGTGAAGCTGCAATCATATCCTGTTTTTTCTTGTCACTAAAAAAATTGAATCACACTTTATTAAAATACACACACTGAAGATGACCTGAAACAAGACAGTGAGACCTCAAGAGCAAAAAGTAGGATCGTTTTCTTAAACCAGAGGAGTCGCCCCCTGCTGGCCATGAAGATTTTAAAAAATGCAGGTCGACTTTTCAAAGGCCCATCTTTTATTTACAGTTTGTGAGCCTGATGGGCCTTGTAGCACTGCTCCTTATTAGTGCCCTTTAAAGATCCTGGGACTGTAACAATTTCTCTTGTAACCTTTGTGTTTTTGCATGTTTAACTTCATTGTTGTGCTTTCTCACACTTCTGTGCTTAGTCTAAAGGGGCCTCTGCACACTTTTATTAGATGCAAATGTAATCAATAACTAAAAACACTTCTTACAGAAGACGTTTGCTCTGTTTATCCCCAGTGGCTGACGAATAACAGCTTGAATAGTGGAAGGACAAGGTCTGTGTGATCTGGGCAGAGAAGGATAGCGGGGTGTAGGGCTGCTCAATTAATCGAATTTTAATCACGATTACGATCTGGGCTTTCAACGATCATTAAAAATGACTGAGCCGATTATTAGCCCCTCCCTCATTTATCCGCGACACCTTAAAGGCCGGTCCGTGAAAATATTGTCAGGCATAAACCGGTCCGTGGCACAAAAAAGGTTGGAGACCGCTGATTAAGAGGACCCGAGGGAAGCTCGGAAAGCTAAGCAGAAGTTATTTGGAGAGTGACTGCCGTTGGTTGAAAAGAGAGTTTAAAAAAAAAAAAAACTTCAGTGGTGTTGCACACTATTTTATATTATTTTTTTAAAGTCATTGTTAACCCTTTAAAGCCGTCAGAGCAGTAAGCTCCGTTTTGCGTAACTATTTTTAAATCCCTGTAGAACCTGAACCGTGTAAGCTAGCACAATAATTTGTTTTGCATATGAAACCGGAGGAGTTGTACTTACATCTGATGCCATCAGCTTGTCCTTGGTCACGGTTTCGTTCCACATATAGCTTTGCAAAAATTGCATAAAACGCGCTTGCAGGAACAAAAACATAATATTCCAGAAACACGCTTTGCCGTTCCTATCAGCTGTTCGTAACACTTCCCACAGTAAAATGATGCACATGCTGTTTTCTTTGCAAATTTGCATCATAGGATTGTTTTTTGTTTTTCCTGCAGTATATAAAAATTGCTGTATCTCCAAAATAAAACTATGAAGACACTCAAAATAAATTTCCTGTTGTTGTAAACTATTTTTTGCAACTTTATTGTATTTAAAGTTTTGAGGGATAAACCTCTTAAATTTCTCCAAGTAGAAATATATGTAAACAAAACAAAAGCGATTTTCAATTTTTTTTGTAGTTTATTGCACTTTTTTGCAATTTATGTACTTACTATGGACTTAATGCATACATATTATTAAAATATGGGCTATAACAGTTGTATTGATGTATAGCAACTTGAAATGTTCCCACAAATGGCACTACAGCATGTAAAAAAATAATATAAGCTCTGGTGGACTTGGTTCTATAGTAGGTCTTAAAGGGTTAAATAAATATCGTCAAATAATCGTGATCTCAATTTCAGTGAAAATAATCGTGATTATCATTTTTGCCATAATCGAGCAGCCCTAGCGGGGTGTGTTAGCTCAACAATGCCACCTGTTTAATGTTACACCGGCTAACATGGCTAACCCTGAAATATGAGAAGAAGAATAGAATTACTGCCAAGTCTTAATTAACCAGCACATTCAAATAATGGTACTGCACTGAATCTCATTTCTTCACTTAGATTATTGGGGGCTGAGTTCCAAACTATTCAGACAATTCCCTCCTGAATTTGAAAACATTTTCTGGGAAGTTTTATAAATAAATAAACATGTACTTCGTTTATAGGTACTTCTGTGATAGAAAACAAGGTCTAAAAGATCCAAGCTTTATGAAATTGAATGGATTTAGTCCACAGTTTTCAGACGTTCTGCAATATTGTACATAGTAACGACACTACGCAGATAAAAAAGATGACACAACTGATGAAAAACCACTAAAATAATTCAGGCGTCACTGACTTTAGTAAGAGGATCCAGACTGGACAGACAGACAGGAAAGCAGAAAAGCAAACAGTGCATTTTAAAGTCTGCTGCCTCAGCTGTTCATCTACAAAAGGCCCTGCTCATAACACACACATAGACAGGCGCTTCTAACTTAAAAGAGGTGAAGGTGAGAGCTGTCACCTAACAAAAAAAAGAATAAGAGCAGAGCTGGAGTCCAGCTGGCTGCCTTTATTTTATTTTATTTTAAAGCACTCGGTGCTGGGAAGCAAATCAAACTGTGGCCCCGAGACAGGCCGCACAGCCAACTAGTCCAGACGACCACATCGCCATAAAATCTACTGAAGCACTTTGAGCTGATTCGCAGGAGACCCGAGCACAGCACAGTACAGCAGGTCGGAAAGTAATCTATTAAAAGAAGTGCTTGAAAGGGTCTCGTGAAAGCTGATTTGACTGCTGACACAGACTTCATGGGCCAAATGAGGTTCACTCTCCTTAATTTCTAACAAACGAGCCGTCTACGAGAACAGCTCAGCAGATAATGAATTTATCTAATGTGCTTTTAAATGTACAGGTATGTAACGGGGAGGTACTGGGACAGATGGTGTGAGAATGCTCACATGGTTTCAACTGCTCTACTCCTCCACCTCTGTGCCACGCAGCTCTCCACGTGTACACCTTTTGTTTCCCAGAACCGGCCAATCAGAAGGGAGGGTAGAGTTTTTAAGTCCGTGGATGAAGCCTAGTGTAAGCTGAGAATCATGCAAAGCTACTCTAGAGTCCAAGATCAACAACGTGGAGGTATGAGCAGAATAAGGGCACTTTAATCATTTGGATGATGATTAGGCTCCATGAGAGGTGTTTTGAGTCCCAGCTTTAGTTACAAGATTTCTGCCTGGTGACTTTTCAGTTTGTGCAGGTATATAAAGCTGCTGCTGTATTCAGGGTTGCACCCATGTTCTCAAAATGAACTTCAAAGAGAGGTTTAGGGGAATGTTTTGGCCCATCTTAAAGTTTCATAGCCTTTAAATGGCTAATAAAATAAAAATAATGATAAGAAAAGAGGCGGTCTGATAAAATGGGGCAGAGCTGTGAGATGGGGAAGTTGTGCGACAGTTTTCACTGACTTCACTGTAATCTGAAGACCTGCGACATCACGGAGCACGTGAGAGTCCATTTATTGCAAACCACAGAAAGCAGACAAAGACGGAACGGAAAACAGGAAGGTGAGCTTGCGTGTTTATTGCCCTTAATTTACCGTTGGTTTTTTTTCCCCACTGTAAGAACAATCCTGACATTCAGCACACCCGTCACACAGGCGGCAGCAAACTCACACCAGATTACTTGGACTAAACGAGTGTGTGAACATTATATATCACCAGTCACTGGTGTTCACACTAGTTGGGAGCGTGTGTTTTTCGGTGTGGCTGCAATAACAACATATGTATTTTTCTGCACAGGAATATTAAAAAAAATAATCGATTTTGTTTACACTGCAAACTTCTGCACAAGTTCTACATTCAACCTTCCAGCAGGAGAAGTGGGAACCTTAGTTATTGCCAGTTTGTTAGACACAGAGGGCCGCATGCACAAACCTAAATTCCAATGAATCGTAAAATTATGAATAAAAAGTAAAACCTCTCCTCTGTAATGAACACTGCACAAATTGCCTGGATACTGCCTGTGCCACAAATATCTCACCGGCAGAAAAATGCACATTAAAGTGGACCTATTATGGTTTTCTTCATCACATACAGCATCTATGCTGTGACAATAGTGTGTGCTCATATGAAATATGAAGACATTTTCAAATAATGAGGTATTTTGTTTTTGAGGACCAATCAGAATAAAGTCGATCAAAAGAGGGGGCGTGGTCTTGTTTCAGTCAGGGGATGAAGCCCAGTGTAAGCCTGTAAATCATGCAAAGCTACTCTAGCAGAGTCCAAGATTGTCAATGGTGGTAATGAGCAGAATAGGTCCACTTTGATAATTTACCCCAAAACACACACATAAAAAAGACCCTCCCTACAAGCATGAAATTAAAGTGCAGAAACTCACATGCAAAGCAGCATGTTAGTAGCATCTCGTGTGCAAAAAAAAGAAAAGAGCTGAAAACCGTACAGACCATCTTATACAGCATACAATCTTACTGTTTTATTATAACAGCGACTTATGCAATATGCACACCATGCAAATGTATCCAAAATGACTTTCAAATGTCACTGCCAGTTAAATCTCTCAGTAATGACTAAATGCTTTTGTTTTTGGCTAAAAACAAACCGCTTATATTGTTTTTTAAAGGTGATCCTGAAGCTGTTTCACCACTGCCAGCCATCAGTTGATCATTTCATCCAGCTAAGATTTGCTACTCACGAGAGAAGCAACAGCACATGTTTTTTAACAGCGATTTGAGTACAAGTTTATTCGCAAAAGCAAACACACTCGGAACCTGCTTTGATTAGTAAATTACTTGAATTGCCTTGTAATATTATTATATTACAAATATATAACAGTATAAGTATAAACAAAACAAATCAGACACTAAAAGGTTTTACCTTCATTCATGTTGTACAACAGGCTCGCAGAGGAGCTCAGAAACATCCATTGTATGTGATATTGTCTGTTACACATGGCTTTATATATTCTGTATTACACTGCACTATTTACACCAGCCTTTTATTATCCATCCAGTCATTGTAAGAAAAGTCCATTCATTGAGGGAAGCTTTAAATTAAGGGCTTTGATTGGTTTAGGCCCTTTGTTTTCCTGATGTGCTCCCAAACCTTGGGATTGAAATGGCTGACATTTCCTACAGATACAGCAGAGCGGCACACACACACGCGCATAAATACGCACACACGCGTACTCTAATTCTGGGGGGGGGGGGTTTAAAGAGTAACCTGGTCTAATAAAAAGAAAAGAGAAAAAAGAGGGAAGCGAGAACAAAAAGATGTCAGACTGGCTGACAAATCAAAGGGCGAGTGTGCGACATCAGACACGTTCAGTCTTTTGAAAAAAAATAAAGGGAGACTGGGATGGGGGGGGGTAAGCTGGCTGCATGGCCAGTCCTAAGACAGTTTCAGAGGCAGACGGCGGGCCGCCCTGCTTGCAAATACAAAAGCTGCTTGTACATACAGATGCAATATACTTCAATTTACATGATATATTAGAAAAATTGTACAAGATAATAGTAGTTAAGTACAGTTAACACACTGACTGTGAAACAACAGCTTAAGTTAAAGAGTTAAGGCTTGAACAGGACAAAAATAACACTGTGTGTATATATATATATATGTGTGTGTGCGTGTATGTACATACGTGCCAAGATCAAAGAGCACTATGGCTTCATTTCACTCGAGCCATCTGCAAACCTAAATCTTTCAAACTCAACACTGACTTTTGTAGGACTGCAAAATGGCAGCCACAGAAAGGCCACTAGAGGGAGCTGTGACATCCAGCAGACATCCAGCTGTTTGCGCCTCCCTCCCCTAAGCTTTTAGGCTTCAAGGTGGTTCGGTTCAAACTAGAGCCTCTTCCTCTTAAAGTAGTCAGCGTACTGCCCCCCCAGGCCTTGCGAGTGCTGCCCGATGTAGGCCGCATCGGATGCCGTAACTTCCTGCACTGCCAGCTGAGGATACTCCCTCTTATGGCCCCTCGTCTGGTTCTGATGGGTTAGAAACAAGAAGAGAACGGGAGGCAGAGGTGAGGAGGGATTATGGACGTTTGACCTGGACGTGTATGAAAACACTTATAGTTGGAAAGTCACCGATAAAAACCATATATTTCATTTTCAAATACTAAGGAAATCTTTTTTTATGATCATGAAAGGGTTTATTGTTTATCCCGGGAATATTACTCTTGGTTTCAGACCATTTTACCAAAAAATATTGTTTTATTAATTTAATTCATCTCGGGACTTCGGTTGTCCACTACTATAAGTTTCTGTGGTCACTAAACATTGTTTTCTGCGTCTTACTAAAACAAGTGCAGCCTTGCTAACGATCTGCAGGAGATTAACCCTAAATTACTGAAATGATCAACTAACATAGAAGGTCGGTGACAAAGAAGCGTACAGGTTTGTGCAATTTTGACGAATAAGCAAAAATCCTGAATTTGCATGCATTTGTGTGTAGTAGCACAAACAAATGCAAATCTTTGAGGAGATGACGCTTAGCTCAGACGTCTGGCCCCGGTCTGTTTACGTCACTGTGCACTCTCTCTCGCTCTGTGAATCTCTTCCACCTCCGTGTCTCCTTGAGTGGCTTTAACGGCCTTCAACTATGCAGGGAAAAACATAAATAAAAGCTGCACTGAATGGTAGTCTACTGGTTGACTTGGTTGAGAGAAAAAAGAGGAAATAAATTTTTAGCAAGCAGCCTTTATAACACTGCACTGTTTGAAAGCAGAAATGTGTGGAGCTACTTGCAGCTAATGCAGACCAGCACAGACCTTCAAATGAGAACTGGTATTCAAATCACTGGCAGCACTGACATCAATCTGTACACGTCACACTGCTGCCTGGAGCTCAGCTTTATTGTTTTTAGTCACTGTTTTTGTGTTTGTTTCAGTCTAAAGTGCCTATTTCCTGTTCTTCTTTCACATTAAAAGGCCTACAAGGAAAGGAACCGATCCTAACATTTGACCCAGTATAGCAGCTTTTATTTTGAAACATCTATGCAGGGAGCATAGCATCCCAGCAATTTCTCTGCTTTTATTGTAAAGCAGTCGCACCCTCAGCAACTCTTTTTTTAAAGCTAACCACAGAAAAATACTCCTGCAGTACAGACAATAATCTCTACACACATTTCTTATACTAGCAACAATTGCCCTACTACACATAAAGGCATACAGAAAAGGTTAGCACAATATATCACTTTTCAATTCAGCAGGATGAGCAGCAACCCCCTCCTCCCAGATCCCCACTGTCAACAACGAGTGCAGTGCTCTAATATCAGAAGCTGTGGAGGAAACAACAATTCAACATTTCACTTAGCTGCAATATGAAATGTTGAATTGTTGTTATTTGGCCCAAGACGAGTGTGTCATGATTTCAAAAAGAAATGAAAAGGAAGGAGAAAAAAACCCTAAAAGAATGGAGACAAAAAAATGTGTTTCGTGTCTCATACGGGATCATGGATTGTTCTTTACTTACATAGTAATAGGTGTTCCAGTCCGCAGCAGCGGTGTGTGCGTGTGTGACAGGGTTCGGTGCGGCCGCAGATGGGTGCGGTGCCCCGAGGAAGCCCGGCATTAAGGGCAGCGTGCTGTAAGCTGGGAGCACGGCGGCGGCAGGTAGGACGGCCGGGGGAGGAGCCGCGCCATTACTGACCGCGTGCAGAGACACTCCCAGAGGCTTACACACCTCCACCTCCTACAGGAAACACAGAAACAAATAGTAGTAGCTTATTTATTGATATGATTCAAAGGTATACTCAGGACACCAAGGAAAATGGTCTCTGAAGCCGTTTTTTGTTGCCGTGTTACTGTTTAGGTGCTGACAGAATCTCATAACATGAGAAAATAATTGACAAAAGTGTTTTATTCATGTTAGCTTTTCTGTCCTCTAGTGTCTGTTATGAGGCACATCAGGTAGGCTCATTCAACCGGCTTCCCGTCACAGGGGCTTACTCTCCGAGGCAACCATCCCAAATCAAAATACTCATGCCGACATATACACAGCTCAATGTAACGCCTTTGTCAAATGATACGAAGGATTTCTCAGGCAGAGTTATCAAAATTTCCACGAGCTCAGGACGCCAGGGTCCAAGCCAGCTGTGCAATAAGATCTATGACATCATCTTCTAAGAAAACATCTTACATGCAGTCGTGTTTCCATTATGTCAGAGGACATTACTTTTGCCTTATACGTATTCATCCTGGAGCCTTACCCTAATTATTCCACCAAAAAGCATTTATGATTTACCTCAAAGAGACTTTTAGTCCCCAAAAGGGAGGCGAGTCCCCGATTCATCACAACGTGAAACTGATCTATGTCCCCCCCACAGGTAATGCACATATGCTCACATCCTCCAGCAGCAGCAGATAAGCCTGGATTTGGCTGCTCATTGTGTGTGGAGATGGCTGGCATCAGCTGCTGGGTGCAGAGTGATGCGTTCCCTCTAACAGGGTATCGGTGTCGCCGAGAGGTCAACCTCTCCAAATAAACATGCGGATGAACTTCATGTTAGTGCCAGCGCGTGTAGATAGCTTACACTCTGTCTGCAGGATAGGAAGCTGCTTGGATTTTTCAAGAGCTTCACTTTGTATCTGTGTGTATGTGTGTGTGTGTGTCCGTATGGTCACGGACAATCTAAATGAGCTTATCTTACCCTAATATGAATTATTTGTATGTTCTAACTAATTTAAGAAGACAAATGAATAACTTGTGTAAAAATGCTTATCCCTGGGACACGCTGGGTTCGTTAGCTTTGCTGATACATGCATGATAACTGAAGTGAATGGGTACGGAGGCTGTGTGTGTGTGTGTGTGCTTGTGCACAGGATTTTGTTTTCTCTTCTTTTCCAAGCAGCTAGTTGAGGGCTAACACCTGGCCAAGGGAGCCATGTGTGTTTCAAAGAGTTTATAGTGTGTGTGTGTTTACCTTGCTGGCGTAGCCCTGATTGGCTGTTGCTGGCTGGGAGTAGTATTGAGTGACTGCCTGCATGTAGGAACTGTAATCTCCATAGGTGGACACAGCTGGAGTCTAGAAAACAAGATTTCACATCCATTGTAGTTTTGTTGTGGGTTTTTTTACACTGCTCAAAAAAATTAAAGGAACACTTTAATTTTCAAAGGAACAAATTAGATCTCAAAGGGAAAAAAAATCATGCTGGATAACGTGTTAGGAATAAAAGGATGTGATGGAAATGAAAATATTGACCCTGCAGAGGGCTGAATTCAAAACAAAAAATTTTTTTTTTTTTTTTAAAGTGAAAAAATGGCAGCGGCCAGTAGACTTAGGTTGTCCGTGTTAAGGGCCTTGTCTCTGGAATCTCCTTCATGTTCTTAAGACTGTGCTGGGAGACACAGAAAACCTTCTGCCCATATGCCATCCTGGAGGAGTTGGACTACACGTGCAAACTCTGCAGGGTCCAGGTATTACCTCACCCTAGCCAAATACAAAACTAGTGTCAAACAGTCAGAAAAGATGAGGAGGGAAAGACTGTGAGTGACCTCCAGCTGTAAAACAATTCCTGTTTTGTTAGTTGTCTCATTGTTGCTCCTCCAGTGTTGTTAATTTCATTAACACTAAAGGAGCTGAAACTGATTAACAACCCCCTCTGCGACTGACCAGATCAATATCCCAGAAGTTTAACTGACCTGATGCTGCACTGATTGAAAAGTGTTCCTTTCATTTTATTTTTTAGCACTGCAGCTACTTTTTGTTAGTTGCAAAATATTTTATGTTGCTTGCACAAAGAACACATTTACAGCAAACTGAAGTGGGCCGGACTCTGATGCGAGGATGAAGAAATGAAGGAAATACATTTACATGGAAATACATGGATCAAACAAAAAACAACACGTGGCACAAATCCCACACGGTCACAAACAGGTGTGTGTTTGCCACCTGAGTGTGCTCCTTGCTGTAGTCTGCGGCCGTGCTGTCCTGTGGCGCGGCCGTGCTGTAGCTGTGGGCTTGTGCCGCCTGATAGTGCTGGTACCACTGCTGCATGGCCTCCTACGACACACACACATTACCAAGCATGAACAGTGCTTTCTTGTCTTTGCGTGATTGTTTTGGTTTTTTTTTCTTTGCCACCTTTCAATTTTATGAGTCTCATTAAGTATTGTTCCTGCTCTCCAGCGTTTCGTTCCTCTGTCTTTGTCTTTCCAGACAAATTAAACCGACCGTTTTATTGGTTATCTAATCATGACTCATTTGTTTGGATGAGTAGAGTGTAATTAACATTTCAAATGGGGTTTGGTACTTGCTGCGAGCATCAGATATGTCACCTACTGCTGGAGGAGGAAGAAGCGCAAAAAAGAAAGAAAGAAAGATGACAAACAAGCAGTAGAAGGGCTTTGGGACTTGTTCTGAGTGGAGTGTTAGGCGTGAGAAGGAGAGCAGGGACAGATGGAGACACGCAGTGCTCACTGCCAAATCCACTCTCATTCTGTCTGTCCAAATATCCATACCCATTCCCATCTCTTCCACCACCCTGCCTCCCCTAGTTACAGCTCATCCTGTCTCTGCTGCACCCATCCAGCCGCGCTTTGTGTATCCATCCATCTACTCAGCAACACATGCATCAATAGCATATTTGAGGCCCAGTAATGCCTGTTCACACTAACTGAATGTACAGACCCCAAAATTCAGCATTCATATTTGTGTGTGTGTGTGTACACACGTGCATGTGTTGTAGGGCAGCACCTGTGTGTATGCTTGGTTGTACTGGCTGTAGTCAGTGGAGGAATCTGTGGTGTACGGGGCAGCGGTCGTAGCTGCTGCACTGTGGGAGTAGGAGCCGGAGCCCTGGGAGACCACAGGAGCGACTGAGCTGTTGTAAACTGCAGCGCTGGGTTGTCCTCCCTGGGCTTTGCTGCCCACTGAGCCTATGGAAGAGTAGAAGGGAGAATGGACGACAAATGATGTGTTAATAATCATAATGATGTGGGTTATCACACAAACTGCCCTTTTTTGTAATTTAGTGTATTTTTATAATATTTCCCCACACCTCTACACAATAAGTTAAATATTGGAAGAATTAGAGACAATTCAGTAAATAGAGACAATTATAATCTAGAACCTGTTTCATGTTGTTCATGATTGAGATGCTCTTGGACACTTCGTACGTGTCTGATATGAGGTTTCCAACTGATTTTATTCATTTTAGTGTTTAAAACTGATCTGATTAACAGAGGTGGTAGAATTGATCACCGGCTGACCTGAATTGCTCTTCTTGAATAAAAAAGCTTGACTAATAAATGAGCACAAAATGCTTTTAAGTGCTGCAAAAGCCAGGACGTGAACTCTGGTGCAAAAACGTTATGGTTGTTGTGCGATCGTGTGCTCACCTTGCAGAACTACTCCTGGCATTACACTTGCCAGGTTTAGGTAAGGATTAGAAGGCAGCCTGACTTCTTTAGGAGGATCGCCCAACAAAGAACTCTGTCCACTGTTTACCTAAAGAGAGACAGGTGAATATAAAACGTATTATTCACACTGCCACCAACAGGAACTGCAAATAAAAATCAGGTTTTCGTTTTTAGAGGTGTTTGAAGGCAATTACAGCTACTTTGCTTCATCTTTATTCCAAACATGTATCACATTGTGGATTTAATGAAAAATACTGTGCTACACAAATTCTAAAAAATACTGATTATACAAACTTTACATGAGGCTCTAAAGCTGACTTTTGTGAGCTACTGAAGAGCTAAAGTGATGGTGGAAACCTGCGAGGATTGTCCTCTCTAGTAATTACACTTTCTCTCTATTAAAGGGACTTCAGAGAAGACAGTACTGGGACTGGAATCGTGTCCCCTAAGAACCTCGGCACTGTGATTATTTCTGTACACAGACTTATAAGAGATAATGATGTTAGTGTAGTCGTACTGTATTTAATCCTGGCCGAGTCTAGGAGATTTAGGGAGGTGTTTTAGAAAGAAAACAGGCAGGTGGGTACAGGTTGCATTACAGGCATTTTCCAAAGGTAAAGCGCTCAAGGGACTGAGGCTGTTTATTCAAAAAGCTCCCTTGATATTGTGTGTTGAGGTTAAAAGCAGACAACACTAATCAGGAATAAATACTCCCTCCCCCCAAGAGACAGAGAGACTGAAGGGTAGAAGGAGTTAGGACCATAACAAGCATTTCTAGAGATAAGTTACAGATCGGTTTCACGGAAAATATCAACAACTTGCATCACAGTTGGAGTTCAAATATTAATTTGTGCAGCAACGTACACATAAATATAGAAATTCAAGAATTACACCAATATCTCTAGAAACTTCCACCAAACATTTGATCAGGCGACAATTATGTAATACTGACAACGAGGGCCAGGTAATGCTGCCTGGTTTGTGAGTCTGTCAAATTACACATTTTGAAATGTTAAGACTGTATATAAATGATGGACGTAGCCAAGGGGACATCATCAAATGCTTTGTGAGCATTTTGACTGTCGCCATCTTGATATCTTTTTAAAAGCACACATCCAATTAAGGAGACGATCCGAGTAAGCGAGAGCACTGCAAGGTCATAATTTGGCAAATTTTCAATCACAGGGTAGCTCCGCCCTAAAGCATCCAAAAATCAATATCATGTTGTATTAAGTAAGAACTGAAACGGTGTAATGATTAGAACATGTTTTACTTAGATCATCCATCAAATGAGACATACAGGCCCAGTCTAGGTTTATAACTGGACTTCCTTTCAGACTTGGAAGGCCATCTTTTATTTACAGTCTAAGTATTTTGTATTTGCTTCACGCATGCAGATTTTCGGTCGGTGTCCTCACCAGGGGGCAGCTGTCTGAGCTGTTGTGCTGGCCTGTTGTCGTGTAAACTCCTCCAGGGGGTTTAGGCGGAGGCGGGCCAAGGCCCGAGTTACTTATACCCAAGGAATAGCTCTGTCCCTGCGGTTGGGCGCTCACCATCGTCCCTGGAGGAGCTGGCTGCCTGTTGTCACAGGAGGTGGAAGAGGAAGAAGAGGAGGAAGAAGAGAAGGAAGCAGAGGGGGTCGTAGTCACAGAATGGGTGCTGTGGCTAGGTAGGTCTCCTCCTACAGCCCGACCCTGGAGGTACGGCATGACACCTGCTGCTGAAACCACTACTGTGGCATTGTGGGTAGATGCTGGAACTGACTCCTGTCCCAACTCTGTAAGGGGAGATGACAAGAAAGCAAAAAAAACAAAAAAACAGGAGGAAATGAAAGGAGAGGTGAGTGATAACAGAAAGTTGAAATTCAAGAAACAGTAAAGTAAAAACATAGTATACAGAAAAAAAGGAAATGAAATGAAGGGAAATAAAGGCACAGTTGGGAAAGATGCCAGATAAACATGCGAAATGGCTTTCACAGATGACCATCAGTGTCTCCGTCTCCTCAGGACACAGACGAATCGCTCAAACGGCTGGAAACTCCGCCTGGCCGTCTCTGCAGAGCCAGCTGTAATATTTGAGAGCAAGTTTCCCGCTCATACATCACTGCTTATCGTGTTTATTTACAGCCTGCCACTTAGCTCTCCACAATCCCAATATTTCACTCACTCCAGGGTTTAATAACACAAATATGTACACATGCAACATAATCCCATACAAATGCACACAGGCCAAAAAAACAAACAAAACACAAACATATAAGTAAAAGATGCGCACACACACACTAAACGTGAACATACGCAGTGGCACTTATTATAAATCCAATATTGCTGTGACAAATGGCCTCCATCGCACAATAAACGAAACCGCTCTAACAAGCCTTGAGCCAACATTCCCCAGCAGACACGCGCACCGACAAGAGACACGCACGTTCGTATGCAAAATTGCAAACTCATGCATCCAATCAAAGAGGGACACACTCACAGTGGTGCACATGGGCATGATTGTTTGTTTTTATGCACATAAAAAGTCTGCGGTATATCATTTCCATTTAAAACAACACAGCTTTTCTCAGCTGGAGATTTGAATTGTAAATCTGCTGCAGCTTCCTGCTCCGCACTGTAACGTACAGCTGGGCGAAATTCAGCAGTCTTTACAGGGACAAGCCCGACACACGGGTCAGAATTAGGAAAAGGACCCACAAAATTTATGGCTTTCACTTTAACATGAACAATATTTTTCTGGGACCTTAGAGCCTTCATTATTAACATGTAAAATAGAACAGATTCTGGATTTGGCAGAGAGAACAGACCAAAAGGTTACACTGTAAACAGTAAATCATTGATTTTGGTACGTGGAAAAATAAAGGTGGTGTTGTAGGAGCGCTACCAAGTTAAAATGTTAATAAGGTCTGAACCAGCGACCTTCACAGACCTTGTCAAGCAAATGTGTAAACCGCTGCACTCTGGAGCCACACAGTTAGTTAAACTATTAATATGCTCCCTCTCAAGAAAAAGACAAAAGTAGTAGAGCAAGAAAACCAAAAACAAACACTAAATTAGGTATTAACCAAAGCCTGAATGCTTCAGTGTGATTTAATTTGTTTGCAATAATTAAATGAACTCATCTGATCAGGGTGCTTGTTACTCATTTACCTGCTATTAAGGGGTCGCCACAGTGGGTAATTAACATTTTGATTTCTTACACCGGACGCACTTCCTGACACAACCCCACAGAGATTTGTGTCTACTCTTAAATTGTGGCTGTTTAGCGTGTTAGGTAAATGTGTAAACCACTACATAATGGAACCCGTTTACCTGTAGGAGAGTCTCCCAGGAGGCCTTTCCCCAGCTGCACGAGGCCTGGAGGTCGCAGAGACAAGGCTTTCTGCATGAGCAGTCTGGACGGGTCCCCGAGCAGACTGGAGACCTAATAAAGGGGAAATGAAAGAGGAGAAGGAAGAGTATTACAAAAAAAAAAAAATGGAACAGAAAAGCAAAATCAAAGAACAATATCATAAAAAACAAAATTGGAAGAGCATGAGCGAGATGGTCGTTATAAACCAAACAGAATCCACCATGGAGGGCTGTGCTAGCTATACAATGGTGTGTAAAGCAGATCCAGAGCATCCAATCCACAAAGGTTTTAGAATTACCAGGACCTGCTCACAGATTTCTCAGAATATGCAGTCTCATCTTTATAAAAGTCCAAGTGGCAATCTCCGGTACTGAAAATGAAGCCAGCGTTGAAGTTCCCAGAACTCTAGTTCCTCCAAGACCAACACCAAGAACGAGTCATTCCCCATAGAGTTCAAATGCCCAACTTCAGAGATTAAATTAAAATGTCCTCACAAAAAATAAATGAATAAAAATTAATAGTAATACTTGGATATTCCACAACAATTACAAAGCAATGAAACTAACTCTTGGGACATGGAACTTCACCTCTTTGGTTGGGGAAGAAGACAAAGCTAACACGTGAGGCTGAGAAATATCATCAGGCTCACCTCAATGTACAACATGGGCTCTCGAGCCTCCTGGACAAGGGCTAGACTTAATGTTCCAAACCGGAGTTGCCCTTGGCAAGAGGAGGTGTGGACAGACTCTTATCTCTTGCAGTCTGACAGAGCAAAGCGGATTTTACCCGTCAGTCAGTCTCCCTACAGGCACATATGGTCACAAACTGGGTAGTGACTGAAAGAACATATACAAGGGGTGCAAATGAGTTTCTGAAGGGTGGGTGGGCTCTCCCGTAGAGTTTGGCCATTCAAGTAGGAGTAGCAGAGCTGCTACTCCTCTATATCGAAAGGAGCCAGTTTATTTTGCTCAGGCATATGACTTGGATGCCTCCTGGGTGAGATATTCTGGGTATATCCTACAGGGAAGAGGCCTTGGGGCAGACCAAAGACATACTAGAGAGATTACATCTCTGGGCTTGCTTGGAAACACCTCAGTGTCCCTCTGGGTGAACAATAGGAAATAGGACTGGGTTTAACTGCTTAGACTGGAACCTGGACCCAGATAAGCATGTAGAGGACATGCCAATTGAAAGCTTAAAATGGTCCTCCTTGTTAAAGTTATGGGTTGATTAAGTTTTTAAAAATATGTAGAGATAGAATCCAGTATGCATTGCAATCATTCAGCTTAAAAAAGAAAAAAGATAAAGAAAGAAAAAAAAAACATCAAATACTCCAAACATCAGTACCCATGACATTTAACTTTCACTTCAGCAACACAAAAAATATGCAAATGAAAACACAGACAGAAACTCATCACCTCAAGGTCTCACTTTAAACAGAAAAGGAGAAGCAATTAGGTTGCATGATTTCGATGTGGTTTCGTTTTCCCGTGCATTAAGTGCTGGAGATAAAAACATAAGGGCACATATGCACATGCCCCCAACTATGTTTAACCCTCAGCACTAGCATATGCAAATCATCACACACAGACACACAAACAGGTGTCTTACGCTGCTGATGCGTTTGTCTTTGATGTGTAGAAGCTGTTGCTGTGCCAGCTGCATGTGCAAAAGGTTCTGGAGGACTAGTCCATTTCCAAACATAGCATTCTGCAGGGTAAAAGAAAAGGACATCAGAATACGCACACACACACACACACACACACACACACACACACACACACACACACACTAAACAATTCAGAGATTTAGATGTTAGTGTGACCTGGTGTGCTTTTCCCAGTGTGAGCAGGGCTGTAGTGAGGGGAGGTCTGAGGAACGGCAGGCTGGTGTGACGCCCGTATTTTCCTAAAAACATAGTCAAACAACAAAGAGAAACACCAGAGCCTCCATTAGTGATTTGCTTTTTTTAAAGTCTCCACCAAAGTACTAATCAATCATCATCTCAACAGGCACACACAGGCGAAATTACAAGTCAGACAACCGATCCATCAGTCATTTACAACACATTTCAAGCAATCACACAGCTGGCTGTTTTATAACAAGCACCAGTAAAGCAATACTGGGATATTATGCAAGCACAAAGCAAATTACCTCCCACATAACTTTAACTTTTTTCCCCTCAAAACTTAATTTCTATTTTGGTGTTGAAGACAGATTTTAAAAAGAGCTCTAAAAACAAAAAAATGTAAACTCCTTTATATACCAAAATATTCTAGGGTCAAATGTGAGGCCATCTGTCCAATAGATAAGCTTGGCCCAAACCGGCTGATGCAATAGGACAAGGAAGTGCAGCAGCAAATCTGCAGCAGAATGGCTGAAGAGTAAAAACAATCTAGTTGTTGTAACGGCCTGACAAAAGACAAACAATTAAGCAGATGAATTTGTGTTAAGCTCACCAATAGATATTTCATCTTAAGTACTTTTGCCCTTGTATGTATATACAGTGGGGCAAAAAAGTATTTAGTCAGCCACCGATTGTGCAAGTTCCCCCACCTAAAATGATGACAGAGGTCAGTAATTTGCACCAGAGGTACACTTCAACTGTGAGAGACAGAATGTGAAAAAAAAATCCATGAATCCACATGGTAGGATTTGTAAAGAATTTTTTCTTAAATCAGGGTGGAAAATAAGTATTTGGTCAATAACAAAAATACAACTCAATACTTTGTAACATAACCTTTGTTGGCAATAACAGAGGTCAAACGTTTACTATAGGTCTTTACCAGGTTTGCACACACAGTAGCTGGTATTTTGGCCCATTCCTCCATGCAGATCTTCTCGAGAGCAGTGATGTTTTGGGGCTGTCGCCGAGCAACACGGACTTTCAACTCCCGCCACAGATTTTCTATGGGGTTGAGGTCTGGAGACTGGCTAGGCCACTCCAGGACTTTCAAATGCTTCTTACGGAGCCACTCCTTTGTTGCCCGGGCGCTGGGTTTTGGATCATTGTCATGTTGGAAGACCCAGCCTCGTTTCATCTTCAAAGTTCTCACTGATGGAAGGAGGTTTTGGCTCAAAATCTCACGATACATGGCCCCATTCATTCTGTCCTTAACACGGATCAGTCGTCCTGTCCCCTTGGCAGAAAAACAGCCCCATAGCATGATGTTTCCACCCCCATGCTTCACAGTAGGTATGGTGTTCTTGGGATGCTCAGTATTCTTCTTCCTCCAAACACGACGAGTTGAGTTTATACCAAAAAGTTCTACTTTGGTTTCATCTGACCACATGACATTCTCCCAATCCTCTGCTGTATCATCCATGTGCTCTCTGGCAAACTTCAGACGGGCCTGGACATGCACTGGCTTCAGCAGCGGAACACGTCTGGCACTGCGGGATTTGATTCCCTGCCGTTGTAGTGTGTTACTGATGGTGACCTTTGTTACTTTGGTCCCAGCTCTCTGCAGGTCATTCACCAGGTCCCCCCGTGTGGTTCTGGGATCTTTGCTCACCGTTCTCATGATCATTTTGACCCCACGGGATGAGATCTTGCGTGGAGCCCCAGATCGAGGGAGATTATCAGTGGTCTTGTATGTCTTCCATTTTCTGATGATTGCTCCCACAGTTGATTTTTTCACACCAAGCTGCTTGCCTATTGTAGATTCACTCTTCCCAGTCTGGTGCAGGTCTACAATACTTTTCCTGGTGTCCTTCGAAAGCTCTTTGGTCTTGGCCATGGCGGCGTTTGGAGTCTTACTGTTTGAGGCTGTGGACAGGTGTCTTTTATACAGATGATGAGTTCAAACAGGTGCCATTCATACAGGTAACGAGTGGGGGACAGAAAAGCTTCTTACAGAAGACGTTACAGGTCTGTGAGAGCCAGAGATTTTCCTTGTTTGAGGTGACCAAATACTTATTTTCCACCCTAATTTACGAATAAATTCTTTACAAATCCTACCATGTGGATTCATGGATTTTTTTTCACATTCTGTCTCTCACAGTTGACGTGTACCTCTGGTGCAAATTACTGACCTCTGTCATCATTTTAAGTGGGGGAACTTGCACAATCGGTGGCTGACTAAATACTTTTTTGCCCCACTGTATGCAGAGTATATAGGATTAATTAGTCATACTTCCTGATGATTTAATGTTTATCATCCACTGATATGGTCTCTTCCTGGCATTAGAGATTTACTTTTCAGGACTTGAGTGCAAATCACTTTTGCAATGCTCTTGGTCTTATTATTTTCTGATTTGCAATCTCCAATTAATTTGTTGTCCAGTACACTTCTCACAGTAAACACCTCCAAGGCCAGCTCTCGCTGTGAAAGTGACACCCCACTTGATAGGACATCCAGTGAGAAGTCTTATCACACAGAGTAATGCATTAACAAGTTTCCTTTTGCTCCCCTTGAGCAATACCTCCTGTAGTTTTCTATACCCTTTTTAAGGGCAACTACATGTTTGTAAGGAGAGACATTTGTGCTTTCTTTAATGCACCTTCTTTAAAAATACATCACAAAATCCAGTGCAATGCCAATTTCTACATTCAACAGACTTCCTGTTTGTGATTCATAAAAACAAAATCGATCACACTGATCTGCACCCATGCCACAGATGCACAGCCTTTCTTCTGCTTCTTTTGTGCATGCGTGGTAACACAAGCCTTGGTCATAATAAATGTAAGCGTCAATGCTAATGGTAGCTTCCTCCAGAATAAGTAGAGAAAGTTTAACATTTAATCAAGATCCTAATTTTAGACTTTAATTGTGCATACTCTTCTTTAAGAGAGCTCCCCCACCTCTCTCATTTTCTCTCCTTCCTGTTCTCATTTCTTCCCCTAATGTCACACGATTTCATTTTAATACCTGATTAGCCATTCATCAAATAATGAAGCCACTGCCGAGGTGATTACAGTATATAGGAGGGCCTGGCAGAGGGAGACTCATTCAGCGGAGCTTTGATTGCCAGCCATGCCCTGTAGTCATGATCTAGTTTCTGCCCAGATCATTATCACCAATTTCATCATTTTATATTTGTCTAAATGTTCATATTGACTTGTTGTATAGTGCTTACATTTGTTATCCCACCTCCCAATGGAATGTTTATGCCACAGCTGCCCTTAATTAATAGCATTGCTAATTACCTTTTATGTTCCTATCATGGTTAATCTGCCAGTATGCACAATAGGCCTGTGACATCGTCCACAATAACACCAGTATAAATTATTGATGTGATATAAAAGTGCCATATGCCAACATCAAGATGAGCAGTTACAAGGTTCAGTTACTATAATTATTAAGTGTTAGCAGTTATTTTATACTTATACTTAAAATTTTCCGGGGAAAATACTGCCTAGGCTATTTTCATGCTTACATTTGAAAATGCTCATCAGCTAGTTACATTTATAAATGCTGCCAACTGCATGCTTTTTCTAAATTGATAGAAATATTGATACTGCATAGCATTCTTTAAATATTGTGACAAAATGATGAGCTTAAAAATCCCCCACCCATAATGCGGAAGCTCTTAATTAAAATTTTAATGCTAAAATACCATAATTTTTAAGTTTTATGGTTTTTCAAAAAAGCTGAAAAAATAGTAAACCAACTGCAGAGGCTTCTGAGACCTGAAGCTTTTCCATTCCTGCTTGATGCAGGTTAAAAACATTCTGGGCATTTCATAATGCCCAGAATGTTTTTTAGATGAATGACAGCTGTGGACTTCAAGCAGACCAGCTTATCACCTGGAATCTTTCCCTGTGGAGCCATGCAGGTTCAATGTGAGGAGGATACATCTGGCACCATCTTATAGCATTAAGCAAACGTGTATGCACCAAAAAGCTGTTCTAAAGCTGTACATATCATTTCAGCATTAATAAGGCTTTGACAGATGTACAAGCTACCCATGTCATGTGAACTAATGCACCTGTACACCTACAAAGAAGCAGTCTTTTTCAGATTTGATTGGTCAGATGAAAGTATAGTTTTCCCCTTCAACTCACCTCAGTCTTTTATAGTGGAGGATGATGTTCATTTGTTTTTTAATTGCATTATAGAGTTTTAACTTTCATTTTCAGATGCCACAGCCTGCGTTCAGTGTTCCTGAGCCAATGCTTGGATTTCCAATTCACTGTCAGATAATCCACTATCCAGATGTTAGGTGTTTTTTTGTTTTTTTCCCAGATGTACAACTTTTTCAATGTTGCCACAATCTCAGCTAGCATGTAGCATGCTATGCTAGCATGATATTTAAAGAGAAACCACTTAAAAAAATAAAACACCAGTTCTAACTCCTCATATGTTGCCTTTCTTTTTTAAATATATATATTTTTAAAAAAATCGAGAAACAGAACTTTCATCATACAATGTTTAAAAATTATTTTGGAAAAAGAATTCACAGGTTTTAGGCTGTAAATTTTGTGACACCCCATCCTCAGGATTTTCCCGCCCACTCAACGTTTTTAAGGAAATCATCATCATGCCAACACACTTACCAGGAACATAGGAACAGCCAGAAATACTTTTTACATATTTCTGTACAATACTTTCGTTTCACAGATTTGAAATGTAGACTATCCAGCATACCTCCTCTTTTCCCAGTGTGGTACGGTCTCATGAGTATCTGCAGAGCAGCGGGGTTCGTCATACTGGTCAGCAGCTGGGCCAAGTTTGGTTCTGGTAGCAAACCTTTCCTGTTACTCAGAATCTGGAGACAAAACAAAAAACACAAAAAGCAAGTGAGTGCAACAACACGTGACTAGATGTGTGCATGTGTGTATCTGTGTATGTGTGGAGTACAGTATCTGTTTTGATCTTGTCATTAGGAGCCCCTGATGGCTTAAGTAATCATTACACTAGCTTACATCATCAGGATATGGCTGCAATGTCAGCAGAGGGGAGACAAAAGAAAAAAGGCAAGAAAAAATATAAAAGGACAAAGCTGGGAAACGACAGCAGCAGGAGGGAGAGAAAGGACGGGGGAGAAAAACAAGGACGAGAAAGTGTCTGAAGGAAAAAATGTTTTTTTAGAGACTTGGGAAGGCCACTTTTATTCACAAGTTTGTATCATATTTGAAAAACAGCTTTTTTCACAGTCTGCTGCTGTGCTGGAACTTGGCTAAAGACGCACATTATGACACATTACATGACTGCTGCCTTTCCAGCATCAAATTCTGTGCTGACACAAGATGACAGCTTATAGTGAGATGGCCAATATTTATTTATTTTTATTAAGGTTTCAGAGGGCGTTACGGTCGTTTCAAAAGAAACGGACACAAAGAACAATCTTTCAGAAAATGTCTGTCACACATGTAGTTTAGCTCACGGTTTGGGAGCGTCTGCCTTGAACTTAAATACGTCACTTCAAAAGAATATCTGATCAAAGCGCAGCTTTTTAAAATGTAATCCTGCGTCTTGTGCATGGCTTTCACAAATATATACATAACAAATAAGTCTGACGCAAGAATATCATCCTGTTATTATTTTCATTGAAATTTGTAAAGATGATTAGTAAATCATAGTACCGACAGAAAGCAATAAAATAAGGGAGAGGGGGAAGTTTGATATGCAATCGCCTAGATTGCTCATAGAAAACTGGACCTGCCAGTCTAAAAAGAAAAAGAAGAGACTCCATCTTAGGCCTGTGTAGCCTTTGGTGTTTATCAGAGCAGAGTTGTAAAAGAGGTATAAGCACCGTTGGCTCACAGCAAGAAAGTCCTAGGTGGCCTGTGCCTGTTTTCTTCCAGGAGGTCTGGTTTCTTCTGCCCTCATGCCAAGTTAATTCTCCTGTCAGTGTGAACTTCCACCAAGGCTTACAGCTAGAGCTTGTCCTCCAGCCCTGCACACTGCTTAGAATGAGTAAAATGCAGAGAGCAAATTTCTCTACAATAACACACTGACCCCACCCCTGACTGCTGTGGAATTCATTTGTTTAAAGTGCAACAGCTCTGCTTTTCCTAATCTTCTGTCATATGTACAATGGTGGATGTTCAACTGAGGCACATGGTTCCAGCTGTGAGCACAGAAGCCCCACCCACCAGCGGTTTAGGCCTTCTGTTTAGAAGGTGCAACCAATCAGGAAAAAACGTGATAAAGGGTGGGCTTAGAGGAGCTGCACCAAAGACCAGTGTAAGATTTACGAGGACTGTTTTGCATTACTACAGCTATAATATATATATATATATATATATATATATATATACATACACATATATATATATATACACACACACACATATACACACATATATATATTTGTATAAAACCTAACCCAAGTGCATTTTAGAACATTATGTTTAATTAAAGCTGAGCTTATCTCACACACAACACTTCTCAGAGTCGTTTTAAAATCTTGTTTTCTTTCCTATTGCCAATAAAGCTTCTATTTAATTTGACATTAAGCTAAATTTCCTGGATCTGAACAGTTCTCTGCTGACTTGCATTTAATCAAAGGAGTTACTGTAAGGCACATTACCCCAAATAAGAATTCAATTACTCATTATGCTGAGGAAATTTCATTCAACAGACTCAAATGAAATCCTATTGAATTAGACTGCGTCAAATCGAATGGAGCTGCCCGTGCTCTGGTAGATCCTCCTCAGCTCTGACAGTGTGGCGGCAGTACGCGCTCGCCGCCCTACAGACACGGCTATTTAAAACAACATTAGCAAGGATGGTGATGTTTCCTCTTCGCCTGCCCCGAGCTACAGCCTGACTTGAGCACAAGTCAACGTTGTTTCCTCTCTGTCGCATCCCGGAGCCGAGAGCTTTACTGACGGGGATGGGCTGCGTTTGACTCCGTCCTGTCAGCAAGTAAGGAAGAGGAGAGTCTAGTGCACACGTACACTATGTGTATTCGAATGTTCCGGTGAGGAAAACTATTGTTTGTGTGTGCGCGCGCGTATGTGTTGAACAAGGCCAGTCATAGCTGACAGCGTCTTTCAAGGGAAGAGAAGGAGGAGGAGGAGGAGAGCTCTCTCATTTCTTTTCTTTCTGCTGGAGAAAATGTCAGCATGCATCAGTCTGTTTGGCTACTGGCACAAAATCCAGCCACACACCCACACACTATAACACACACACAGACATGCCAGGGAGGTAAGGAAGCCGCGAAGAAGGGAAAGCGAGAAGTATCGTGTAAGGGGAAAAAAGGACGAAGGGAGAAGAAAGGAGGGAGGGAGGAGGCCATCTGGTCCTCAGCGTTCACACTCGCATCACACTAACTGGAGAAATGAGAGAATCGCCTCAGACAACTGTAGACAGGAGCAGGTCTCGAGCTCTTTCTGAAGATCTGATGTTGCTTTTACCAGCTGCTCACATTCACTGCAATAATGCTGAAGGGGCCTCGGGGCACTAATGTAACCTCACAGTCCTCACAGGATCTCTTTCTGTCTTACCTCTTTTTTTCTTCCCCTTTTTCTGGTCTCCTCCTCAAATCCCCCCCCCCCCCCCCCCCTCTTTTTGTTTCTTTTACCAATTGCATGTCTTCCTTCCTCCTCAATCGCCCCTGTTAATTTATTCAAAAACACATTTTCCAGCCCATCCGTCACAGCTATAACCTCTTTACGTGCATCTGATAATTCACGCTCTGCAACAGCTGTGATGCCATCAGAGAAAGAGAGACTACAGCTTTTAGCTAAAGTGGAAATTTAGCACTTATAACAGCTCGATAAGGGCGATCTAAAGTATAGAGGACACCTGCGGACAGCTTGTTGTTGCGCATCCAAGTTGCAAATAAATATTAATATCATTCAGAGACATAAAAAGATCAATAGATGAAATCTTGATGGAATCTTGAATTACACAAAATATATTCATGAAAACCTACGTGACATACTTCAAACTTCAAATACTGTAAAATGAAAAATCTTTAAGATGCTATTTCCCGACGAGCGCTATTTTACATCTTGTCCCATCATTCCTGTATTTTAAAACGTGATTACGGCTCCTCTGAGAACACTGATGAAAGCCCTGAAAACTCATCTCTCTTCATCAAAGTGACATATGTAGACGTTCAGCCTATGACAACGATCCCTCCAGGTCTTCAGCATGAGCCGCCATTAGTAGGTGCGAATCTGTGAAAATTGCTCCTCACCTCCAGCTCCACCAAATCATCCAACGCCCACCCGCAGCGAAGGCGGTAGCTGCTCACCTTCTATACAAATGTAGGTTTGATGTATTCTGATAACAATAATTATTCTCAAACCTGAGAAAAGAGAAAAGAGAGAACCACCTACAAGCTGACATACGAGGTAGTGATGCGTTTCATTTATCACTCTCTACTACACAGGAAACACATAAACAGATATAAAATATCATCAGTGTTTGTCTTAATGACATTATCAAGAATAATTATGTGTTGCTAATGCTGGATAATCCTTGCTCTTGATTGCAAGCTAGCAGGATACTAACCTGACTGAGGTTTGTTACATACAAAACTCTCTGAATCAAGTGATTCTGACGCAGTCATTGCTGCACTGCATGTGAAAAACAGTCAGTCACGGTGGTGACTGCTTATTTCATTCACGATATGTCTACTAGCATGAAATAAACACCATCTGGACCGCTCTTTAAGTAGCCATTAACCGCTTCCCTTCTCTGTCCCTAGATTCCTTCCATACCCACGTACACACAAACCTGTCAGGACTCAGTAGCTGTAGTAAATCGAGGTACCCACAGGGATTAGCAGGGACTCCTCCTTTTGGGAACTCTCACTTCTCACTTACTCTCACTCGCTGTATTTACATGCCGTGTGCGGGTTCGCTGGGTGCATCTGTTTGAATGGGTGCACGTATGAGTGTCATAGTGTGTCACTAGCTTGTGGTTTGGTTTATTTCAGGCTGCGGGAGACAGCGGAGGAGCCCAATCAGTCTATAGAACTATAATTATCATGTCAGTGCCTCTCTGCTACCACAGCTCTGTGTAGGAGGGGTATCACAGCTACAAAGACCTTCTCGGCTAGAGGGTGTTCGTGCATGTGCTCCACGTCAAACCTCGGTGTTTCTCAGCAGCGGATGTGCAAGAACCACCCGGCACTGGCATCACAATTAGATGGAAAAGTAGCTGTGAGCATATCCGCTCTTTTTTTGTTGTTTTTCCATGAAAAGTCCAGTGTGTCAGTATTGTAGCATGTGGTCCTCCACGTATGAGGGAATGCTACAAAAATGAGACTACTGTGACATAACGTTTTAAAATTTGAAAGTAATATTAGGATTTATGATAGGAAATAGCAAAGGGAATGTTTCAATTCATTTACAGTGACGGTGGGTTTGGAGGTTTAGGGGGTGTGGTAAGCTGATGATGGTCCAAATACAGCCAAGCAACATGGTAGAAATATTGATTCCTGGATGTGTCTGGAATCAGCTTTAACAGTAACTAAGATTTCTGCTACTGCCGGACTTGAGCTGCGGAGAGACGAGAGTCAAATCAGTGAATCGGATGATGAAATTCAAATGCATCGCACCTCAACGGTCCACCTGTGTCAGCTAAGTGGCAGTTAGTTGCCATGGTGACAGCATGTTATGTAACTATAACCAAGTGTCAAAAAGTGATGTGAACTGAGTTTGGCACTTGTTTTTCAAAACAGCTTATAATTCCACCTGGTTTAAAATCCCAGAGAGCCCTGATAACTTGCTCTATGCAGTAGAAAGAAAAAAAAAATAAAGATTTTTCCTTTAATTTGGTGATAAAAACCATGCCCGTAGATTAATAATTGTGGGCTCAGCAGCAGGTTAGAGATGGAAAAAATGTCAGAGAAATTTTCCAGCTTCTGTAGGTTAATTTGTTCACTTTAGCTCTGCACACTTCAAATGGCGTGAAAAAACCGAAAGCTCGCATTTTGCAAATCAGCCGGTCGTTTTGTGTTTAAATTGTGTTTTTATGTGGGGGCTGGGTGAAAACCTTTGCACATTTTTATGTGGAAGATATAACTGTGACATACTGACATATCCACACTAATAAATTGTGATTCATCTCTCATCGATTCTTCAAGTCTGTAATAAATACAGTACGGCTGGGGTTTATTCTAAATAACACTTTGGGCGGGTATATTACATTAAAACTGGTGGCTAGTGAACTGTTAAGATTGCTACTAAACCAATGCTGCCGCTAATATTAGCCTCTTCTTGCGTTAACAGAAGGCGACATTAAATGCCGTGTACTGCCGTCTGCGCTCTCTTCAGTACACTCTGTGATGCGTCTGTGATGCTGCTTTCTCCGTAATATACTCACCATACCCTGGGCAGCAATGAGTGCAGCCAAGGTGCTTCTCCCTGAGGTGCCAGGGGTACAGAGTGACAGACGGACCTCCTGTCCTCCCACCAGAGTTCGGTCCATCTCTATCAGCACAGCTTCTGCCTGCTCGGCGCTCTCATATTCCACCACGCCAAACCCTCGCACTGGACTGCCCTCATCCTGAGCAAGCTAGAAGAAACATGCATAAAAAGACAAAGCATTTATTCAGTAAGTCATTCTTTTAGATTTTTCTTCTGTGGCTGGGCACAGAAATGTGGGCTCTAATGTGAAAAATTATTTGAATTTCTTTTTTCCTCGTGTTTGATTCTTCATCTAAATTCCTAGTTGGCCGGGGAACCGGCAACGTCAAGACATTGGTATTGATCACATCCCACAAATTGTATAAACATGATGAATTGAGCTAATTTGTGCTTAAGGAGATCTGAAAAATCCCTATTGACACTTGTAAATGTGGAGCACTACAAAAACCAAAAGAAAAAAAGAAAAGAAAAAGAAAACAACTCGTATCTCGTGTTTTATTTTAGCTTCTTTTTTTTCTTTTCTTTTTTTTTACATGTCTTACTGGGGCAGAGTAGTCTTCTTATGCTCCCACTTATTACAAGGATTGCATTCATGCCATTATCAGATTTGTGCCTGATAATGGCATGCCTTTTGCAGATGCTCACCTGCTGGAGTGTCTGATTAAAAGCAGGCGCACTCCTGTCATGTTTGTTGTTCCTGTTAGTTCACAGGAATGCTCCAAATCTACTTAACAGGCTTTCACTAATATACAGTACACCTTTCCACTTCCAGGCATGCCACATTAGCTGTAAGATGTTAGAACTGTCTGCTCACTGGTGGGTTCAAAACATATGGAATAACCTGTCCTGGTTAAATGCACCCAGCAGGCTGGAGCGAGTTCCTTCAGGAGAAAGTGGGTCGAGTGATATAAGGGAGAAATGCCACCAGTAGCAAGAGCAATAGTCCAGCATAAAACCCAACATCAACTTCTGAAAACAACGTAAGTTCTGACACTACAAACTAACGTCATCAGCCCTTCAGACTTCAGCAATTATCTGTAGGAATAAAAAATTAATACGCCACCACTGCAGCATTATCGCCAAGAGCTGTTTAATGAAGTAAATGTATTTTAAAGTGGATTTTTTTTTTCAGTACGCAAAAGAAAATTTACTGACTTCTTATCAGCCAGTATCAGCTGCTTACTGCTTGATAGGTGTGCCCCCCTCCCCCTCACCAGAGACCTAAAAATACTTGCATTTACTATCTTTTAATAAATCATCGGGGCAAACAAAGGAGGTAACAGTGGAGTGGAGGTAGAAGTGCTTCTCTCAGCTTCTTTTGTCAAAAAGGATAGATAAAGAAATGACATGATGTAAAAGATACATCCTTTTGCTCTTCCTACACCGCTTCAGGGATGTGCACATAGATAGAGATACACACAAACACAACCTAACATAGTGTCTGTGGAAAAGACAGCTCCAAACTACAATAATCTCCTACTTAGGAGCCGGATCGAATAATGGGCCTTTTTCAGCATATAAACTTGACAGAGCATTATTATCATACATTTATGGTCAGCAGTCAATAAAGACATGTCTCAGCGCTAGAGTGTCCTGCTGATAAAGACTGACTTCTCTGTCAAGAAGGCTGAGTCATTTCCATCTTCTGAGCTCAAGCTAAATAATGCAGGCAGGCTAATAGCTTATAGCTAATGGACTTTATCGGATAATGACTATGTCCACAAAGTAATGGCTTGTGGTTAAAACATACCACTTAACGTATTGTTAGCACTGGTTCGATTCATATGAAATACAGCAGGAATAAAAAGGACAGGAACTCAATTTAACTTCTCTCACATTTTAAAGGATGTGTGATCTGTTAGAGACCATTTGAAGGTTTGGTTTGCTAATACTTGCATCATCGCTGCTAAAGGTGCACAATTAGACACCAAAAAGGCAGTTTTCAAATAAATTCATCTTCATTCCAGACACGCACAAACAAAGAGAATTTCGTGGCACTGTTGGAAGTTAAATGCAGCGTTACTTGTAGTGTCTACAGAATATAAACAGCTGTGTTAAAAAAAAATCTGCATATTCATAGACTCTGGATATTTCAGCCAAAGAGAAAAGCATATATAATTTCAGGAAGCTGCAACTATATAAATGAACACTTTTATGAGAAACCCTTATCTGATTTCTTATATTAATTTCCATATGGTGAAAGGAAGGTGCACTTTTGCATTCATTCGGTACATATTGTGTGGTTTGCTCCCGCTGAAATGCAGCATTTGTGATAGACTCTGGCCACATCTCCCCACTACTTTAAGCTGCAACCAAGTGATCAGCCAAAACATTACTGACCTTTTTACTCTGAAAAGTAAAGAAGGGGAAAATTGTGCAAAACAAAGCTGAAGAGCTATATTTGTGGTTCTCTTTGCACACAAGGTCGCATAAGAGCGTGTGAGTCATGGAGGCTTTTATATCAATCAACACAGTATGTATCGCACAGGCCAAATGTATTTTGAAAGGTGCAGACGCTGTGAAATACCAATCATGTAGCAAGCAAAACAGCAGACCAATGTGAATACTGGTCCTTAGCCATAGCGTGAGATTTGTCGTGTTAATTGTGGATTAACGTTATTTTGTAGCGACTTTTATAGTACATCAGCACAATGTTGTTAATGAGTGAAGTCAGCTTTGGTTTCTTTTGAGAAAGTAGCATAACTGTGAGGTTGGAGTAATTTCTATGGAAGGATGTAATCTGTGGGCATCTTTCTCACCCTCAACCGGTTGCAGCAGATGGCTGCTCCTCCCTGATCCTGGTTCTACCAGGTTTCTTCCTGTTAAAAAAGGGAGTTTCTTCTTTTCATTGTCACCAAGTGCTTTTGGGGGGTTTTCTCTCTATCCAGCTTTGTCACATCAGCATCAGTCTTCTTGGAATTTTTATTTTTTGAATCTCTACTGGAAGCAGTTCTAGATGTGTCACCATCACAACACTGGTGGAAAAGCCCTGGCTACTCTCTTATAATGTTGCAATAAACTCTGATCTTGAGGGTATGAAAGTCAATAAATCCAAAGTCCAAGTGACAAATTTCTAATGTGAGAGCAATGAAAAAGTCCTTCAGGGTTAAACAAAGCAGAACGGGACAGAACAACAGAGACATTAATACGAATAATGCTCAACAATCAGGCAGCAACAGCAGCGTGGAGCAGCAGGTGGTTTTAATGATACATGTTTGAAGGTAATACTTTCCATGAATTTGCTGCCTGAAATAATGCAATATTAAATACAAGCAGAGCTGGAAGAAAACAAGGAAGAAGGATGATCAACAGAAAATTAGCACCTATAATTTCAACTCATTTGGATGCTCATTGATTCAATGTTTCTCAACCAAATGTACCAGACATTTACTGCTTTGTACATTTGGATTCGTAGGTTTTCAGCTTGAAATTCTTAGAAACTGGATGTCTGTTTATTTATTTATTTTTTGGGGGGGGGGGGGGGGGGGGGGTTAGTATTTTCTGACATTTTAAGGTAAACCATTGTTTGAATACTGAAGAAATACATTATTCAGCCTATTTCCCCTTCCAGGGCTAATAAAAGGAAAGCCGTTCAGAAAGTTAAACATTAGGAAGACATCTTCAGCAATAAATTAAAAATAAAATACAATCAATTCAATTAAATGCAGCTTTTGCTAATGTTTTACCACTGTTCGCCAAGAGGTGAAGATATCTGAGTTTTCTCAAGTCGCAGTTTTGACCTCTAAGGGCCAGCATATGAATCGAAGTACATGACTAAGGTCTACACAGAAAAAACCCCCAATATGAATAAGTCTTCTGATGCCTCCACATACAGCATAAAATCAGGGAGGGTATAAGAATTCATACACAAAGGCTTTCACATGAAATGTGAGCAAATCAGAAACTTGATTATTTATTTTCAACTGCTGCAAACAGCTAAGGCATCAGCTAAACTCAGAAGAGTTTCAAACTCTGCGTTTACATTGCACATATGTACATTCAGTACTGTGCAAACGTTTTAGGCAGGTGTAAAAGAAAAAATGCTGTTTACAAAGAATGCTTTCAGAAATATAAATGGTTGTTTATTGGCCCCAAACGTATTCTGCAGCAGGACAACGACCAAAACATACAGCCAAAGTCATCAGAAGTACTGGAAGTGATGTTATGGCCCCATAGAGCACTGATCTCAACATCATCGAGTGTGTCTGGGATTACATGAAGAGACAGAAGGATTTGAGGAAGCGTACATCCGCAGAAGATCTGTGGTTAGTTCTCCAAGATGTTTGGAACAACCTACCAGCCAAGTTCCTTTGTTGTTGTCGTGTACCCAGAAGAAGAACTGATGCTGTTTTGAAGGCAAAGGTTGGTCACACCAAATATTGAATGATTTAGATTCATTCACTGCATGTTGTTGAAATAATTAACACTTCCATTTTTGTGCTGTATGTGAGTAGTTTATGAAATGATTCAATTTTTTCTTTCCTTTCTCTTTGTTGTAAAAATAAAGGAATTTTGAATCAGTGGAAAGCAAACGCATTTGTACTTTTTCAGCACGAACACTGACGCCTGTTAGCTTCAACAGTCAATCAAGTGGCCCTCCACTTCCTCCCACCTCTCATTCGTCTGCTGTTCCCTCCAGCCTGAACAGGGGGATGGAGAGATGGATGGTTGAATGAATGCAGGGAACACGAGAGGAATATGCACGTATGTGTGGAGGAGTAGGTCGATAGGCTATTATCATCAGCATATATTAAGCAAACTCCATGGAAATGACCGGAACCACTTTACCACTTGAGATATGGATGGATGGATGGGGGAGAGAGAGTGGGAGTGAGGAGGGAAAAGAAAGAAAGTAAGTGGCGGAGGAAGGGGACATAAAAGTGAGGCAGAAAACATCAGTGATTGATTAAGTGACTGATGGTTGAAGAGAATGAGGGGGGGTGGGCTGACAGAGAATATGAGCCAGAAAAGACAGGAAGAAAAACACATAAAAACTTGCTAACCATTATTTTTGTGTGGACACACACACACAAACACACACACACAGATGCGCACGCGCACACACACGCACACACACACACACACACACACACACACACACACACACGGGTATTCATAGCTTGTGAATCTAATTCAGCGGCCCCTTTT